GCTCGTGGTTTAGAGATGGTCGGGGGAGCAGGTAACATACGCTCGCGTGTTGGTAACTCGGAGGGGCGCTTGCAGGAGGTTTGGTGGCTTTCTCAGGCTTGTAGAGTATTGTAGTTGGGCCCGATCTGCTTGGGCGTCGTAGTTGGTGAAGCTCTGCGCCTCGTACGAACCATCGTAGCGATTCCACCTCTCGCGATGTCCGGTCACGGCAGAAAGCTGATGTAGCGTCGTCGTCAACCTCCCTCGGACATCTGACACCGGCGGCGGGGGTGTGACGTCTTCCTGGCCGGGGACAATTTCCTGCGTCTTACCGAAGGTTGTTTCTTTCTTCGGAAAAGTGGGGCTTCCGCCACTTTCGGAGTCGGGATCGGACTCCATTGGTTCCTTTGGCTCCTCCTCTCTTCCCTGTTCCATCTTTCTGTACAGACAGTGGTCTACTTGCTTACTTGTACCTTGGCGTCCACTATCCTGTCGACTCTTCGTTACGGGGGAGTCTGTGATATCTTGGGACCTCTGGGACCAGTGTTACCTGATGCTCGACGAACCTCGATGTCAACTCTCCCGTGCAGTCGTGGTGGAAGGCGACACAGCTGGGCCAAAGGTGAAATAAACAAACAGAGATTCCACTAAAAGCGTCTGACGTCAAGAAGGAATGGGATGAGGAGAGAGAGATTTTAGAGCAAGTGTTACCGTTGAGTTCCAAGCGAAGACTGACAATTCTAGGTCCTTGGTTTAACACCACGACCTTGCTTCTTTCTGATTGGCTGACCTATTTAGGTGATTCTTTCCTAATTGGTGGGACTTTTTCACGTGGCCGTAGGCTATTGGTTGACCTACTTAGGTATTGTCTTCTGATTGGGCCGGGCTTATCTCTTTGACGGAAGAAATACGTCCGGTCTTGTTCCGGAAATTGGGCGTCTCTCAAACTTTTATAACTTCTACGTTACCAGATACGTCTTGCCTTGCCAGGAAGTATTGACTGTACAAGTTATTTATATTTGTGCTGGTTTGAGGCCTCTTTTGCTAGGCCTTGCTTCGACTTCTGTCCTAAACCTGATTTGTTTTAACCTTAACTTTCTCCTGTCTCTCTCCATTCCTTCTATCTGTACAGTTGCAATACTTTATTAGATTCTTACGCGGTACAGATTGATGTTAGTTGAGGTTTTCTATGTGCAGTACATAAGAAGTTATATACAGTCATGGGGTGGAACATGTGGTAGTGGATATCTAGACTATTTACAACAATTCCATGGTCTTAAATCATCACATATATATATATAGACTAGCGGATGTACCCGGCTTCGCCCGGGTTTTACCCTAGTGAAAGTTTACCTAACGAACATTTGTTAAAACAATTCTAGAAAACATCCAATCCCTACTGAATCTATACTTGGCAAGATATTTTTATGTTTGATTATCTGCTCCACCTAGCTGTACCCGTTCAAACGTTGCTGTCTTTGAACAAAAAGGCAGTTTTAATACCTAAATAATAATCTATTAATGATCAAATGTATACAATACATCAAAATGAAAATTAACACTAAAATTATCCCTACATAAATGTCATTTGAATATAAAATATGTAAAAAATAATAGATATATTTTGATAATTTGAAACTCGTAAATTTGAATCTCTCGATAAAGTGAACATTTTTTTCCCGGTCCCTTGAAAAATACTCGATAAGTTGAATAAAATCATTATCAATTATCATTATTCTTGTCTCAAATAAATTGCCGTGTCATCCTGAATTTTGTCTTTCTTAATTGTCTACATTACAAAATCATCATTTTATCTATTCTCCCAATATATATGTTGTAGATAAATGATAAAACTAACTTTGACTTGTGCGCAATTAATAGGTAGAAAATCTTACTTTTGATAAATAATCTTTAAGATAATAAACTTAGTGATAATAAAACTTATAGATAAAAAAACTTGTTATCATCGTCGCAATGGGGGCGCTGCTTGCGAGTTAAATCTACAAATCTGCAAATAACTCTAAGGATATTCAAGATATTCAAGAAATTATTTTCAAAAACCTTCCCGTGGATATACCTAATAATAGGACAAATTAATAAAACCTCCGAGGTTGTGTTTCTTTTTTAAAACATTCAATAACGCTCAAGCTTTCGGGTATGGTGGCCCTTCTACAGGAGCAACGCGAATGGTGGTGAATCGTCAGCAGCTGTTATATATTTACCTAATATATTTACATATTTACAATTTTTTTATAAAAGAACTATTAATTTCTTGATATATGCTAAGTATTGAAATATTATTAATGTTTATCCAGAATATTTACATCTTTCTAAACTAAGGTAAAAACTATTATATAATAATTTAACTTATGAGATTTGAATTGGCTATGGAAAAGTGTTATGAAATAGGAGTTATTGTATTAAATAGATGGCGCTCTGCCATCTAAAAAGCACATGTGCTCGTGGTCAGGAGATGCCTTCTTTATTTTTAATATCAACACCTGACCCACTTATCTTTTATTTTTTTCTATTGTTTTTTCATATATATATATAAAGAAAAATTGGAAAATAGATAATAAGTGTATTTTTTTAAATGTGGTTGAAATAACGTGAAAAGAGAAATGTATGAAAATATATATTTAACAGAGAAGCATGCTTACTCTGATTTAATATAACTAAAAAATAGTTGCAAAAAAAGAAAATTATTGAACAAAATATTTTATATTACTTTATTTGGGGTGAATATTATGTGAATGTATCAATTAATATTTCAAATGTTTAACGACAAGAGTTAACAGCGGAACCAAGCATTTAAATCGGCTTTGACACGTCATGAGCTTGTCCAAAAAAAAAAAAAGGAAAACTTGGGTAACGAACCAGAAATTGTTCAATCAAATAGAAAAAAGTAATCTAAAAAGTAAACTTTTTTATTCTAGTACAATATAGTTTATAAGAGAAATTTAGCATATATTTATATATATATAAATATATGCTAAATATCTCTTATAAACTATTTTATCGCAATTATAGGGCCATGAAGAAGTGCTATCAATTTTTATAAAAGATAATCAAAAGCAAGTCTAGTTTTAAAAAATTAATAAATATCGCTATAATTTTAATTCCACGTTAATTAAAAATAATAATAATTTACTCGAAAAAAATATTCGGAGGCAGTGTAGTATAGATAGATATATATAAAACTCATCCCTCTCTTCAAATCAATTTCATAAACCTCCCCATATTCGTATCCCAATTTACTAAATAGATAACAATTTTTTAAAGCCCACCTAGAAAATCATCACATCCAATAATATTGTATAGAAATGAGGAATCATTTTGGTTTCTATCTTGAGGTATTTCATTTATATTGGATAAAATCAATTAATTAGCTTATTTGGAATCGATAAATGGTTATTTTTAACATTATTATTTCGACAAAATTGGTTGCCCATCTTCTGCTTGGATTCAACTCTTGTAAACTTACTATCGACGTTATGTACAAGAAGTGATGTTTTCAACGAAACGCTTGAAATTAATCATTATTCGTCAATGTGTTCAAAATTGATTGCGCTACTTTCAATAAGTCATCAGATAAATTATAAATGAATGTGTAATGAGTAAAATATGATTTGCTCTTATCCTTAATTTAATAGAATTAGTATTACCTGTTCGAGAACTCCTCTGAGGTTTCTTAATGGATTTCAAGAATTAAGATGTTCATGAAGAGAGAATGAACCCAGAAGTATGATAGTCTAACATGAATTTCGATTTTTTTTTAATGTTTCAGAGCTACGGGTCGTAATAGTGAAATATACATATATTCAGCTTTATTAAGACCACCGGTCTTATACAGAATAACCGCAGAAAGGCAGCATAGATGAAGATCCTATACTCCATGCAGCACAGAATCCAACAACAGCCTACAGGTCCGACGCATGTCCACAGATTCCACCGTGCATACGTCAAAGTTAGCGTATCACTGAAAAGGCGAGTGTGGAATCAACCGCGTTCTAGTCTTCGCTTTCCTTATCCAGATAGACCACGACATTCGGCGTATCCATAATTCTCCTTCGAACGGTGACTGCGGATAAGAAATTATACAAAAGGATTTCTGTTAACTTTATTCAGATCTATCGATCACAATATATATCTAGAGGTCAAATATTTTGGCAGCAGATATGCAAATCAAAACTCATCTACATACCAATGTTATATACGTATTCTATATACAAGTTTGAAAGTTGCATAAACCATAGTAGAAGGTCACCGAGCGCTATTTGCCATGGAGGACCAATCAGAACTAACTCCTAACCTAATTCTTCCCCCGGGGTCCCATGAAAAACAACTCAAAATCTAATTAAATATTTAATTCGATAAAAAACCGTCTTGGCTCCAAATAAAAGGGACGACAGTAATTTCTTTTCAAACATTTGTTTCCCTATTTAGGAGGACAACTATTAGGGGAATTTATTGGGAATTGTTGTTCGGGGCATTTCCATCTAGTTGGGCGACTACCACTGCTCTCTCTACATTTCTGTTTCATTAACCTGGTTAACCACTTAACATAGACCTTATTTCTGTTATTATATTAGATGTTTCCTTTATATATATATTCATAAGAGAATACTCTGTATCATATAAATTACTTTAATGTGTTCAATATAATATGGATCGCAAATATATATATTCATTTGAAACTATAAAGAACGAATATGTTTCATTATAAATCAAATGAAACAAACGCATATTCATTTTAACTAGTATTAATTTCGAAATGTTTTAGAACGGTATGAAATTACATTAACTTTTTTACCATGTTTATATTAATTTAGGTAGAGGAAATAATTCAGTAATATGGATTTAGTACGACGTTTAAAAGTTTTAACGCAAAAGTTTCTTTTTACAAAACGAAAAATCGTAATTTCTAATTATATAAAGAATAAATAACGACGACTCCTATCCTTAGGGATAAAGTATGAAAGGATGAATTGTAAGAGTAATGATGAATGGAAAAATAAAATTTTCAAAGGATAGGAATCGAACCTACAGTTTTTCGCATACCGGGCAGATGCCGTGTCCACTAGGCTACCCAGGACATATTTCTCCGTTCGTAAATATTATGAAAAGTTAATAGATTCAGTGTATTTATATAAATATTATAGGACTAGTATTTGTGTGCTATTTGATAGTTTGCACTATCTATCGAGCTGAATATAAACCAACTTTGATTTATTTCTACTCCAATATATTAACTCACACCTGTTCTTGACGAATCAAGGAAAGCAAGCCACGTTATTATTTATATCCTTATTAATTTTACTACCCAAGTTGGTATATTCATACTCCTTTTATATAAATATATATCTTTTAAAATGGAATTTTACCGAAAGTAAATTGATATAAAAAAGCAAAGATCAAATCTCCTGTCAAAACTAGACGCCATCTCTCGACCGTCGCCTCAAACTAGCGGCCGGTGACAAAGCCACAACACCAACTTTGGCCAACTGAAAAGCGTCTACCTGGACACCATGGTTTCGTGCCATGACCCTCGTCAGTCTAGGGCTGACTTTATTCCATGAGATCCACACGGGATCTAATGGAATCTTCACAATCTTTCAAAGATGTATTTTGCTAGCGATGTGACTAGGCCAAATCTATGTCCAAAATATAGACTGAAATTTTTCCGGCAGGATATTGATCTATAAAGTAAAGGTCACCTCTCCCGGTCTCCAGGTGGGCGCTTCTCAATTTGACAAAGCTGGTGTTGTGGCTTTGTCGCCGACCCGAAGCCGCTAGTTTTCGGCGACAATCAATAGATGGCGTCTGGCTTTGACGTCTATTTTGACAGGAGAGGTGACCTTTATATATATATATATAGCCCGAAACGCGTCCGTGGTTAGCTTTTCTTGATTAATCAAGAATGGGTATATGGCCAATTCTGGAATAATTAAAATTCAACGAGAATAGTTGATATTTATTCCGATAGATGGTGCAAGCCATCAGCAACTTTCAGTTGCACGATAAGGAGATGCCTTTTTTCATAATATATATATATATATATATATATATATGTTATGAATTATTTTGTTTTGTTGTTGAAAAAGATAGAATTGGAGGTGCAGTCGTGAAAAAGTAAAGATAATTATTCACCCATCAAGTAGTTTTTATTTTGAATTACTTGAAGTAAATTACACATAAAATTATTTTTCACAGTAATATAGAATTCACAAAATGAATTACATAATAGTGAATTAAAAAAATAGGTAGGTTCAACTATATATATTTACAACAATATTCAAAATGATATCTTCTAAATATATGGTAAAAAATATAGAACAGTCAATGAATGAAAATAAAATATGTGTTTTTGAAAAATTAAATTATTTGCATTTTAGATTATAATCCCTATATATAGTCACGACCGTCTTCCCTCATCGGCCTCTGTCACGGATGCGCGCACAGGGAGGTCACGTGCTCGCCGGCAGCCAATAAAAATTTAAAAAAAAAACTGCCTCGAGCCGGATTTGAACCAGCGACCTAAGGATCACCGTTGTAACATCTACAGTCCTCCGCTCTGCCAACTGAGCTATCGAGGGATACAAACTGTATGAATAAGTTTACCTTATATAAAGTCAACTAATCCTATTTCTACACACACACACACAAAATGTACTCATACATATATTATATTATATATATATATAGTCACGAGAGTCATTCCTGATCAGTCAGTCATTGGCCGGCCGCCTCTGTCACGGATGCGCGCGCACAGGGAGGTGCAGGCAACGGGCGCGCATTACGTCACTCAAGGTCACCTACGCGCCAACGATGACACGTGATCGTAGCCGTCCAATAGGAGGGCGCCGGCCATCCGTGACAGAGGCGGCCTATGACTGATTGATTAGGATTAGGATATGCAATTATTTAAGGCGCCAATTTATAATTGTAACAAATAGTATTTGAATAAAAACATTCAATCGGGTAAAACACGTGCGTTGCCCGGGTCATTCGGCTAGTATATATATATATATGTTATATAAAAATATTATTTTATTTAAAATTATATATCATAGATTCAAATATTCGGTTAAATCGACCGCCAGAGGTCACGCTTTGCATATAAAAACTCGTTGTTGTTGCATCCTGCTGGCCGGCTAAAACCTCTGTACATTATGTAAATAATCTTTTGTTTTACTTAATCTACTCGCCTTAAGCCAGACATTACTTTTATCAAATTATGTATTTTTTTATATATATTCGTTTAACTCAATTAAATTACTGATCAAAACTATTTTTCATTATCATACTTTAAAGATTCCAACCACGACTGCATTACATTACCATAATCCTCAACATGATCTAAATACAACAGAAAATCTCTATTCATTTTTTGACGTGACAACGTCTTAAATTAGGTTGCGGCTGGGAGTCACTTATGAAAAAGTGTAACGCCCGGTAACGTTACGATGAGTCACCGAACGAGAGTGCTGCGCGCGCAGCTGCGCGCGCAGCGCTAGAGAATTAGGCGCATTGAATCGGCGCATGCTTGTCTCTGTCTTTGTCTTTCTCGAACGTTCTTGGCGTTGGAAAAACAAGAAAGAGTCATAATACAAGTTCACACGTGTGGTTAAAGTATCGTCAGCTGTGTCTGTAGTGAAAATGTGGAGTGCTTAGATTCGTCATTTACAACAACTACAACAATAAAGGTAAATAATTGTACACTGATATTTCATTATCGTAAACTATGATTGATTGATTAATTGTTAGATTGACACAAAAGTTGAGAAACTGAGTTTATAGGTTATGTCATACTATTGATAAATGTTGATAGTGTTAAGTAAATTATTAGTTTAAAATTAATTAATTAATTAATTATTGAGTCCAGGCACAAATCTGAGGTCTGGTGCAAAGAGAACGTACCCAACGCTGTCAGATTGTATTACAGCAACCATAAAGTAGATTCATACAATCGAAACGCAATTCAAAACGCACACAACTGTATCGCCACTGATATTATGCTTGGGTATTCCAGCAATTCTGAAAAGAGCCGGGAGCAAGGGAAACTTCACAAGATGTCGGTTGCAGAAACCGACGGATTGCCATACATGTTGCCATTAGCAGTAGGATATCCGTACATGATTACATCTAACATAGACGTCGCCGATGGATTGGTAAATGGGGCTATTGGAGTTTTGCTATACATCGAACGTCAGCCAGCCAATGCAGATGACCGTTCTGCTCTAGGAGGACCATCGACCAGCACAAGTTTGCCGCCAGCTGAAGATGAAATCGCCACTCTATGGTTCCAGTTTGAAGACAAAAATACGGGTACCAAAGCAAAAATCAAATGTCGACCACATGTGCACAGCAAACCAAACACCTTATCCGTCGATTGGGTGCCAGTGCACAAGAAAGTGGTAAACATTTCGTTGACAAAAACAGTGAAGTGCAAGCGAAAACAATTTCCTTGCGTGCCTGCTTGTGCAATTACGATCCACAAGGCCCAGGGTGGGACGTTTACTACAATTGTTTACAAGTACTCCTCAAAACAACCACAGCAATTGGTATATGTAGCCATGAGCCGCGTCACAAGTATCGACGGATTGTACATCATAACAGAAAAGGACTCTCCATTGGTTTTCAAACATGGCCGAGATGGAAACGACTCACAGACTACTCGAGATATTCGCAATGAATACTTACGACTTCGTGGACACACTCTAGACACAATTACCAAACAAGCCGTAAAATTCTGTGACGACGCAACCGACGCTGGACAACTTATTGTAACGAACATCAACTGTCAAAGTTTAAGTGCCCATGCCGCGGACATTGAAACAGATACAGTGATACCACGATCAGATTATTTAGTATTGACTGAAACGTGGATGCGCGACACTTGTGAACCAACTCCAATCAAGGGTTATGAGTGCGTATCCAGGGAAAATAATCGACCTAACTCAGATACCAACGCGGCTGGTGGAGTGGCGATCTATCGTAAATTATCATCGAGATCTACGGCGGAAGTGTTCCAAGTTGCGATTACAGACGTAACTCGTGTCATTAAAACCAAGGGTGACATGTGCATGACTGAAGTTACTTGCTTCGCCGCTAATACTAGCTTCAAGTTTATACTCGGTGCTGTATATATTCATCGAGGAGCTAGTATGCAGGATATTGGAATGTTACTATGGCAAGGACTCGGTCCGTACATTCACAACAGCCAGTACGTGCCACCGTTCGTGCAAATTGATTCTAGTATACCGATTCTTCTGTGTGGTGATTTTAACAAAAACGTAAAGCCTGACAACTCGTTTCTTAATTTCATGAAAAATACGTATAATCTTGATTGCGTATTAAACGTTTCTAAGTCAACTACGTTAAAAGGAACAACTATCGACTTGACTTTCGCAAGACACATTACAGCAGAAACACTTCCTTTCATTTCATATTTCTCCTATCATCGTCCTATCCTCAACAAAATCACTCAAATAGGAATTAGTTAAGTTTAAGTTTACATGTACAATGTTTTAGTAAACAAAATATATTTCTATAGTTAAAATTTGTGCAATTCTTATTTTCATTCAATTCCTTGTTCCTATTGTGCAATTTAATTATATTCATATCAATAAATATTCTACCGTTGTCACGTAAAATCTTCGCCCGTAAAACCGACTTTACAGGCAATCATTGTTTTTTTATAACATATATATATATTAAAAATAAAGAAGGCATCTCCTGACCACAAGCACATGTGCTTTTTAGATGGCAGAGCGCCATCTAGTGGAGTAAAAATAAACTAAACGTTTATTTAGCTTACTCCGAGATATTTGGCCAACCCAATTTCTTGATAAATCAAGAAAAGCCATCCACGAACGCGTTTCGCGCTGTTGGCGCTCGTCAGCGTGGAGAAGGCTGTAACCATTGCGACCAAAAAGATTTTTTGGACCCAATGGCTTCCCGAGAAATCAAGAAATGGGTATTTAAGGCCAAATTTGCGTAAAGACGCTTAACACATGAAAAAACAATAAAAAAAATAAAAGATAAGTGGGTCAGGTGTTGATATTAAAAATAAAGAAGGCATCTCCTGACCAC